ATTATAGCAGAGTTAATGACAGTGGAATATTTTTTTCTTAAGTTGTTGTATTGAACTCGCACAAAAAAATTATACATATATACGTTTTTGTGGTTATGCGGAAACTGGTATCTTTTATACGCGTGACTATTTGAAAAAATACCGTGCAGCACTAGAAGCTTTTAGATTTGAACAAATCGATCATGTATCGTTCATTCAGCGAACTGTATCACAGACTTAATTTGCTTGATAGAGGCATATAAGGTTCTATAAACTTTTTTATGAATCATGCTGCTTTGCAAATTATAAGAATAGTACAGCTGCATATTATTGAAAACTGTGATCATTTCTGTTCTATTTCACTGTTTTTCTACGATGACTGAGATTCATATTTATAAAGAGGCCCTGAGGGTTGATCTACCCTTGGAAACGATGCAACAATAACGCATCAGCGACGTTCAAGGGAGGATTTAACATTTGCATTTTACAATAAGTTGTAACAGATGTTATCACAGGATCGCTATATCTATTTTATTTTAATGATACATTTGGGACAATGGTTTATTTTTGTGCTAAATATTACTAAAAAATGCGAAATAGTAATTTATTTGTTTTCTCGAATTAATATTGGATTCGAAACCAGTAAAATGTGCGCAAAGGCAACCGGTATTACACTGAACTCTGTGCTTTTTGTAGAAGTGGTGTTACATAAAAAATCGATATGGCGAAAAATCGGTATACTTGTGAAAAAATGTTCAATGAAAATACAAGCAAAAAACTCAACAAACGTTGGGTACACTGCGTTATTTTCAGCAAACAATTAAGCCTCTATGAAATGTCTGGTCTCAGTAGTCCGTTCTATGAACCCTTTAAATAAGAAAAAGACAGCTTTATAAAAATTAATTTATAGAGCTGTTACAACACATTCTACTTACCTTTGTTTGTTGTTCTCCAACAATTTTTTCAGTGGCTTTATGGTGTTTTGTTTTGTTGAGCTTTTTGCATTTCGCTCTCAAACATTGTTTTACAAACTGATTGAGCATTTATATATATATATATATATATATATATATATATATATATATATATATATATTTCTATTTTCAACGATTGTTTATATGTGCCCATTTTTGCATTTTCTTTGCCTCACTGAATTTCTGTTTAGTTTCGATGCTACACATTATGCAATGACTGGAATTTTTTGAAATACTGTAGCAAGATAGGGTAGCTAATAATTTGTGGTACCAAGGCTGTACGCTGAATCTGGCAGGCGTGACAAGTTCGGTGCAGTACTGGTTTCGATTGTGCTATAAATTCAGAAAAGCAATTACATTACTATTTTGCATTGTTAAGCACAAAAATAAACCAGAAACCTCTTCCTGGCAGCCTGTGATTACATCTTTTACAGCCTACTGTGAAATACAAATCCTCCCTTGAACGACCCTCGATGAAGCGTTATTGTTGTGTTATTCCCAAGGGAACATCAACCCTCAAATGGCACTCAGCCCTTGAGGACGTCTACAAAACAGACTCCTACGGTATTGAATTTCATTTGAACAGTATCACTTGTATAAAATCCATTCTATAAATCCTATATCCAGCCATTATTCATTCATAATAGGTGCGAAAGTTCTAGTTCAGCTATGCTTCTATACTTGTGTAATCAAATCTATTATGAACGTTAAATTTGAATATTTAATACAAGTGTTTTATATAAAATTAGGAAAATCCATACAAAAATTCTGAAGCGTGTATTTATGTACTACTCCAAGCTCAAAATATATTTTTTTATCTGTTTGCAAATGGGGAAAATCAATCGCAGCACTGTCATCATCTTTAACCGTTTAGTAGAATTTGGAGAAATTTTATAAACATCAACTTCAAACCTTATAATAAAAAGCCGTTACCACTAGCTCAGTTTAAACTATCTACTTTTTATGATGTAGCTCAATTTTGTTTTCAGGAAATCAACTAGTAAGAGTTTCTCGTGAAGATATCAGTTATTTTTGATCAATCATATAAACTAGTCTAAATGACTGAAGTTTAATATCATTGTTTGGCATTGGTGATAACAAATATACCTTCACTAAATCTCAAGTTCAGAATTATTATGAAAAAATGTATGAAATCCACATCCGAAAATTACATCAATTGTTACTTGTAAAAACCTTTGTCGAAGGAACCAGCCCAAATTAAATACAAAATTATCGCATTTGCTTTAATAGTAATTTTAGTATAACGCAAAATTATTATATATAAATTTAGGTAGATTAATTAATTTTTGCATGGTAAACCATGAGTTCATATTAATTTCACAATATTATGCCCATAATTTATTTATTTTAGTGGCCTTGAAACTGTATATATTATTTTGCTACTTGGTCTCGTTAATGCTGTTCGTGTTTCTATGTGTCGTGTATTGGGTTATATCTATTATATAGACATTGCTATTTAAAATGGGGAATGCTTTTTCATTCGTGTTTATATCACACAGTGGCCCATTTTAATCTCCCCACCAAAAAAAAGTTGTAGGATTTCTACCTTCAAGGAACTTCCAAATTCAAGTGAATATTTTGTTCACACCGAAATTCAAAAGATCAAATTTTATGTCTTAACATAACCTTGACTATGACCTTGTCTGTTGCCTCCAAGTCTATTTCAAGGTCAAATGAAGATGAAAACAATTTGATCTTCAAGGTCAAGTCAATTTTTCTCAAAAAAAAAAACTCATTTTTATACCGGAAATAAGAAAATCGGGAAATTTTACGTCAGAACGCGACTTTGACCTCAAATGACATTTACGCTTGTCCTTTTCTTCAAGGTCAAGGTCACATTGTGACGTAAAATTTCCTGCTTTTTCCAGTATATAAATGAGAGGTATCCTTTGGAGATTTTGAATTGACCTTGAACGTCATAGTCAGGTCATGGCCAATGTGAAAAAGGGAGGAATTCCACTTGAAAATGTCACCTGACCTTGATCCGATTTTGAAAGTTGTAGTCGAGGTCACCACCATTTTGCCTCTTTGAGAGCCTACAGCTTTTGTTGGAGCTGTTTTCTGGAATGCGCAGTTTTGGAAATTTTTAGGTTGGAAGATTAAAATCGGACACAGTGTATATGGTTCCATTATCACATCTATAAATCAAGCATACCTGTAGATCAAATCTCTCAGTATTTCAATTTATTAAAATTGCAGCTATTTGCACTTGTTTTAATTCATTTTTGCTTCATATAAGTAGACCTGTATATGCAAATAATTGCCACAAACACCATTCGTTGCTGCCGAACGCAAAATTTGTTAGTACGACGTACTACAAAAATATATACTAAGTAGCTGCGATAGCTCACAAACCGCCAGCGAGAAAATGCAAGAGAGGAGATTGTGAGGAGCTCATAAACAGCACTACAACCCCAGGTGGTTCTTGGCTGACTTTACAGTTTTACCTACATCTGGTACAGTCTTCCATCAACGTTGTGTCCAAGTTCTTTGCTATGTGTGACTTGGTGTTATACAGGGGCTACCTAGAGATTTTTCACCACTTGGTATTTCTATTCATTGCTGAGTCTTTCAGCGGGGCCAGCCCATCTCAATCGTTGTGCTTTGGTCTCTTGGACATTATGCATTTTTTATATGTATCCTTCTAAGTTGAAATACAACCCACTGACTGCCCTAAATCGCCATTAATCATTTTGGTACCATTTACTCTGGGTTGTCACATGAGACAACTTGTAAGCTCCTGCGAGACTTTAGGCATGTTCCCAACTAGAATACTTCAAAAAGGTTAAAGTTATTATAATAAAAAATATGCAATAATAGCATATGTCACCTAGGAATGTTTTTCATGCGCTTAGTAATGTTTGACAGCACTGCCTCTTTCCAGCCACATTTATGTACCTTCATCTTCTTGCTGGATAGATTACTATGTAGCACTGATACCACACAATCAGCAAACCATACAATAACCACTGCTGTCCCAGACGTAGTTATAATTTTGTATTAGGTAGCAGCGGTTGCGATCATCAGAATCGTAATTTTTACGTAATAAAAGTGCAGGAGGCAGTTTTCCCTAAGTACCTAAATGAAATTATTCCTGTTGATTCCGGGTCAAAAGATCTGCTTCTATCCTAGAGCTCTGATTTCCTTGTTTTTTTTGGACAATATGGCATTCGTTTAATCCACCAAAAATACTTGAATCTGATAATGGAACTCAGTACTAGCTACATTTATAGAATTTATATTCCAATGGAAATATTATTTTTGTTTTATTTTTCCGAGAACCTTCAAAAATTTTAGGGTTTTGTGTAAAGCATTCTGCCTATATGGGAAATTTGAAGATTTATATATTTTTTGGTCTGGGTGTTATTTTTTACATGTCGATGTATATTATTCAGGGTGTCTCTAAGAGCCCTCCCTCACCGGGATGCCATAGCGATTTCGCCAGCATCTGTTGCCAAACCTATTTTAATATATGGAAGCTCCTGGCATGGCAATAGACGCCAAAATCTCTGCTGCCACATAGTCTATAGTTTACGGAACTCGAGGCTGCGTGCACCGCCGTGTCATCTCCGACTCCACCTTCTTAATTGGGTATTGGTTCTCTATATGAGCTCGAGCGATCCTGTCTGGTAACAGTTATACTTCCCGTTTCTTAAAATATATCAACGTGCTGATCATGCACTGGTTGTTGATGTCTTCGTTGGATAGACTATAATAGGTTAGTTTGGCTACAGATGCCGGCGACGTCGGGCTCTAATATTAACTTCCTAGCCTCGAGTGACAGAACTATACATTTACTAGAAAGGCTAACATATGTTATTAATGTTTTCAACTATGTTGTGTGTTATTTGTTTAGGTTTAAGTAGTTCTTTTTAGGCATATGTTTGCATATCTGGCTTTTTGTACATAGGACTTGTAATATATGTTTGACATTTTTGACTAAATATACCTTCTCAGTAGAGTTTGTTGTTTCATTTCTCCACTGAAAATGAGTTGGTGTTACAATTTGATTAAAAATTATTATTAGTTTAGGCTACCAGTTATAAAAATACCACTTCACAAGACTTTATTTTACATCACATGTAAACAAACATAACAGGAGTGTTTATTATCTAAAATACAGTGCACACAATACTTTAGCTCTTAAGTTAAACCTTCAACCATCACTGATTAAACTGCACCTGCCTTAAGATGAGGTTCTTCCTTCTTCGCTGCTCCACCCAACATCTTCTTAATCTCGGCAATTGCCCTGCCTGGGTTCAAACTCTGGAAATTTTGACTGCTGTTAGAATCCTATCTATGAAATAAGCATTTAGGCCAAACAGGGGTAAACGATAGGGTTCATGGATAATAATAGCAGTTTATTGCCCAACAGAGCAATACACAATAACTACGAACATATTGTCCAATACACCATAAAGAAATTAAAAAGGTAAAAAATGTAACAGAATGATACAATATTTTGCCTAAAATGAATGTAGAGGGTGTTCATTTCTAAACTTCCCACCACGGATTTATCGGAACCCAGTGATTAAAAGAAAAAACGCTCAGACACATCAAAACATTTGTCAAAGGGTACAACTTTTTAACCAGAAACTATTTCACCCTTGGCCCCCCAGGAAATTTTATTGGTACCAGAAGAAATTTTGTCTTTCAGTTTCTTTGACGTAAAAATGATCTCATCAATAAATAACGGGTATCTACACCATATATAGAAGTTACAAAAACGATAACAAAAGAATCTGCAATGCCATTCATAATATAATTTGAACTAGCATGAGTTGTTACATCATGAGTCATTTGCCCTGGAATTCTAGATCTGTTTTTATTTCTTATGTAAGACTAGAAATGTGTTTAGTCGCTGTTTATTGTGTTTTCATTAACATATAGATCAAATGCTGCCCTTAAAGTTTCCTTCATCTTAGCTCGTAACAGTTTGTACTTCTCTAAAAAATGCGTTACCTGAACGATTCTATTTCCGCAAGTAGCGTTCTTTACATTACATTTTTTGATGGTATTAGAATCACACAATGGTGGAAAATTGCGCTTGAAATTTATATATAATGGAAAGTGCTCATCGAAAACAATATAATTTACTGTAAAAACAGTCCACAGCACTATTTATGGATAAGGAATATGGAATGTTATAGTTTATCTAATACCTTAGGACATGTCCTTGTACAATTCATGATTGTGTGGCATCTGAAGGCTGAGAATGGATCCCTCATCTTATCAAGACGCTGCTCAGTGGCTTCATCTCTTGAGTCGATTATCCAACGATAAGCCTTGATATAAAATAGTGAATTAAAACAACTGTTTGATACTTGTAACTGAATATTTATAAAGGTATATTATATTCTACTTAATTTTTTTTGTCTAGTTACACACCTGCATGAGAACAGCAGGCCCCAAATACTTGTCTCCATTCCACCAATAGCTGGGGCAGGAGGTTGAACAGCATGCACATAAAATGCATTCATACAATCCATCAAGTTTTTCTCTATCAGCAACACTCTGAAGAAGTTCACTCTTCTGGTTATGTGCATCATCTCTGTCAAGAAAATACACAATTATCTATTGTTGCTTTTTGTTTTCACTGAACAGTTTTTAATAATTTGGTGCACTTAGGGTAAGACAGCTGAATGCTGCGGCTCAGTAACTATTTGGATCAAATGCACACTAAGATAAACACTGTGATTCCCTGAATGTGTCCACTCGTACAAATTAATAGGGATGCACTAACTACTATGTATTGTATTCAAAAAGTTAAGTACTCGGAGAGTGTAGTTCATTACACGTTAGCTTGATTTGATCAATGTTCGCTGACGTTTAAGCAACACGTACAACTACAAAACGAGTTCACAACAAGGGTACAATAGCTTGTACTAAGTTAACATCTTGTAGCAAAACCTACGAAATGTCAAAAAACGCTGAAATGTCACTTTTTAAGATACGTAATACCCGGGCGAGTACTTGGTGCAATGATTGGCTGGATTATTTCACCTATTAGTGATATTAAGAGAATATTTTGCGTCTTTGAAGTTCCTTCCGTCTCAAAATGGATTTATTTTATAATCCTTCCAGTTTCAAGAGAATTACATTTGTAAGACATTCAAAACGTATATACCGGGTGTTTCAAATTTGATACTCACCACTGGGATCTCAGAAACGGTAAGAGGTACAAAGTCCCTTGAATGGGGACAAAGTTGCGTATTTAGGTAACTAACAAAATGCCACTTAGAAAGTTTCAAAATCTAAAGTACTTCTCAAAGTCGTTTTAGTTTTTTCCTGACTTTATTTGTAGTGGGAACGAAATTGCACATTAACATTGTCACTTTTTCTCCTCAACAAGAAGGCATAATCAGAATTTTAGTATGACATTTTATTTCTTTTCCTCCTGCATTTTTTCTCAAGAACGCAATATTGGATTTTCACCTAAATATGCAACTTTGCCCCCCTCTTAAGTAACCTCATATCTCTTACCATTTCCGAGATCCCATTAGTTACAGTCAAATTTGAAACACCCTGTATACATGACATCTTTAACCCACATTTTTAATGACAGAGTAAAACACGAGGCCCAACATATTCAAATGTGGAAAAATATTAGTAGGGTTAAGGCAATCAAGAATGCTGATTTTAAATATTATAGAAACCTGCATTGCCTTTGACAGGAGGTTACAAAAGAAACAAATTGAAACTTGGGAATAACACAGCTGCAGCAGATTTGGGAAGGATGTATTCATTTCTTGGATATTCAATGGATGTCTGGGGAAGGCAAATGACCACAGCTCTACGCATCGCATGTAAAATTATTTGGCTTACACAAGTTGTGCATCATGCATTTAAACTGACTAATTACACAGCCAATTAATATACTTGGCAAAACCTGGTATTTGGAAAAATGGGCCAAATAGCAGTTCCCAACTGAGTACTCTGTGCATCCCTACAAATTAAAGATCAATACAGGTAATGTTAGTGGTGAAGTAGTCTCCAATCAGTACTTACTTTCTTTGTAACCATGGCTGAATAGATTTGTACTGCTTGTAAAAGTTGTTCATATCAGGAACCAAATCTTTTACAACATACATATGGGGCAATGGGTAGATCTTCACATTCTTTCCTTCTCTAGTGTCAATTTTGCTAAAAATTGAATGATTATGCATATTTAGAGAACCAAGGAAACAATAATCAAATCCAAGCGAATAACCAAAATTTCTGTGTTATGTGCTGCGGTTATAATATGGTTTAAGATGACACACGGGTTGATGACGTCAGTTACACGAATCGCTTGAACGCGTTGGTTTTAACCGCGGTTTTGTTTGCAAGTTGTTTATTTTAGAAAAGCGCATATATAATCTCTGATTATTTTTATTATCACTTAATAATCGGTGCTTTTTCGTCTACAACTGTATATGGAAAGTTTAAATAAGAAACCTTTCATAATATTCATGGGAGAAATTTTTTTTTCAGATTTTTTTTTTAATGATTGAACCATGGCTTTGTAATTATGATTACTTTCAATTATCTTAATTTTTCCGCATGTCAAAGAAAATATTTATTGATTCAGCAGAAATGATGAAAAAAGAAATTAGCAAAACCGTATACAGGTGGATATCATCTAGTGAGTTTATATGGCCATATTTTAATATTCTTGTGGTATATGGCTACACAGGATACTTTGTTAAGCATAGGAACTACATTTAAAGTGTCCCCAACAACCGTAATGAGTATAACTAATAAGGTGCTCCACTTTATGGTAAAACTGAAGTCAGCCTGTATCATTTTTCTCAAAATGAAACTGAAGTACAATAACAATATCCAATACCCGGCAAAATTCTAACTTGTCACATTTCAAATAATAACCAGAAATATAAAACTACTCTTGAGTTGGGTAAATACCACAATTTTGCGGTGATAACTATGACATATAATAGCTGATTCGTGACGTCACGGATCTTATAACCAAACTCACTTGAACGGATTGGTAAATGCCAACCCAAAATGGTAAATACCATTTCCATTTGGTTATCCGCTTGAATTTGATTGTGTTCAGTGTATGTTAAATAATTATTAATAAAAAAATCATGTACTTACAAACTTAGCTTACAAAGCTTGCTTTGTTCAAACATGAAATTTCACACTTCCCCAAATTTTATTTTAGGCATAGCATAACAGTCAGACACATATAGAATAATAGTGAAAAATGATCATCATACCTGATACAAGCCAAGGTATTCACTCCCCCAATATTCATAGCACATGAGCCACAAATACCCTCGCGACAGGACCTCCTGAAGGTCAAAGTAGGATCCATTTCATTCTTAATTTTGATGAGAGCATCCAGCACCATGGGACCACAGGCATTGAGGTCCACTTGATACTCCTGCATTGTGGATTTCTTGTCGGGTTCATCAGGGTTCCAACGGTATATGGCAAATGTCTTCATGCGTGGGGCTTTCTCAGCAGCGGCTCCATTGACTGCAGCTGTAAGGTGCAAACCTCGAATCTAAAACGATTTAATCGTGGAATAATTTTCATTATGTAACGTATTACGATGTGAAAATACTTACCTGGCCGAAAGTTCCCTTGCAGAGCTTCAGAAGCCGCATTTCTTTGGACATTGTAAACGCAATTGGATGACTTTTCACAGTTTCTACCAAATAAGTACTTGTTTTTTGAAATCACAGCTGTAAGTGTTGTGGGAACAAAAATTGACCGAATTCTTGTCCTGTCACAGATATAACCTATATGATTTCCGACACTTGCGCAACGCCAAATTGACATGGAACTAGAACACTATCGACACGACACAGGACCATAGAGGTTGGATGTACTATATAGAACACTATCTAATCTTGAGAACTAAAATAAAACTGAAAAAACCATGAATATTAACCGAAAAATAACCTTAACACAAAACTATCCGAGTGGAACAAACGTGAACTGGTGAAATATACTCTACCAGGCTAATAAGACACTGTGAAATCACATTTGATCCGAAAGCAGCGTTTCCTTCACTCTGATAAGATAACATGGTCACGCTAGATAACGGTTGAAATGTATTCTACTAGACTCTAGGAGACTTTCCATGGCGAAATTTTTGCCAAAATCGTTCCACAACTACCAATGGAGATATATCAAATTTGAGCCGTAGCAATGTTTGCCAAAAACTAAAAAAAAGCTGTTATTTACATTTTGCGTCACCTGGCGTCTATGCGGTGGAACGTTAATGTCTCTGAACATTTTTTAAATGCCCACTTTTATACGACAAAATACTTTTTGAATACGGAACTTCCTTCAACAATTGGAAAAAACATGTTTTATTATATAAATATATTTATTAACTATTTGATCTAAAATTACATGATATGAGAAGTACGATTTTCATTTTACTCTACTATACTAAGTGACATATAAATCCGAACACCCAGTTTAAATGGTTTTATTTTAATAAAAGTTGGTGAATGTATTTATCTTACTGTAAATAACAAGTGAACAAATTTTTAGCCTTATCAGTTGGACATTCCGGTTTTTATACTGCTTTTTTTTAATTCACTAACGCTTCAAAAATGAATATTTCAGCCGCAGTAAAGAATCAACGTTGGCGGATTTTGGTTCTTGACATCGTTTACGATCGGTTACGATGCCTAGAGTACGGAGACCTGTACGATTTCGTCAACTTAGTGAGTTTGATAGGGGCCGTATAGTGGGACTTCGGAAAGCTGGACTTTCTTTTCGGGCAATTGCAGTTAGGGAGCAAAGAAGTGTAGACACTGTGGTTAGGTGTTGTCAGGCATGGCTTCGAGAAGGCCGTACGCAAAGAGCAAGGGGCACTGGACGCCGCCGTAGAACAACAGACCGTGAAGATCGCCGCCTAAGATTATTGGCCTTAAGGGACCGTTTCTCCACTACCAGGTCCATTGCAAATGAATGGTTTGCAGAACACGGAAGACCTATTGGCATGCGAAGTGTTTACCGACGAATGAGAAGTTTTGGCTTGTTTTCATACCGGCCACACTGGGTCCTCCCTTTAACTCGAGAACACCGACGTAATCGCCTTGAGTGGTGCAGACAACGGTCACTCTGGGATCAGGAATGGAGTATTGTCTTTAGTGACGAGTCTCGATTTTGTTTAGGCATGCACGATGGTCGTGCCAGGGTTAGAAGGCGACGTGGTGAAAGGAGGAATCCACAGTTTTTTGTTGAAAGACATGTTCATCACACTGTTGGAGTTATGGTTTAGGGTGCTAGAGCTTATGGTTCCAGGTCACCTTTAATCTTCACCAGAGGTAACATGAACTCGCAGCGTTATATCCACGAAGTTCTAGAACCCCATCTTTTACCCTATCTTGACACCCTGGCAGATCCAACTTTCCAACAAGATAATGCCCGACCACATGTTGCAAGAGTCACAATAGACTTCTTTCAACATAATGATGTCACATTCTTACCATGGCCACCAAGATCTCCCAACTTATCCCCAATTGAGCACGTGTGGGATATGATGGGTAGGAGATTGCTCAATTTGCAACGTCCTCCTCAGACTCTAGAAGCACTTCGAGAGGAGTTGGTGGTTGCCTGGAATGAGATATTACAGGAGGACATTGACCACCTGATCAGAAGCATGCCTAGGCGCGTTGGAGAATGCGTAGCACATCAGGGTGCATCCACACATTATTAAAGGTCAAAGGGCTTTAAAGCAGTGGAATCATTTTGAAATTTTTATCATTTACTTATTATGCTTCATTAAGTACTTATACAAAATTTTATTAAAATAAAACCATTTAAACTGGGTGTTCGGATTTATATGTCACTTAGTATATTTATAGTATCCGTCTTATACGCAGAGATATTAGACATTCATTTTGAGGAAGCTAAAAATGGTCAGCTTGATAACTTGAATCCAACTTATAACTCGTCGGTCATGTGGAACGCATCACATCCCTTCTCTTGTTGGACATTTGGTGCCCACGTATGCTCTACCAACCAAGGTAAGACATTGTAGTTTTTCCTAAACACGGAGCTGAGATTCCAGGTTTGAAAACGCCAGAGAATCAACGCTTGATTGTTTGCACCATCTTTAGTAAACATAGTGCCAAAGGCTTAGTGCCAAAGCACGATACTCTCAATTATACAGGGTGGTCCATAATTCCTTTGAAATTTCAAATTTGAATAAAATTTAACGGGTGAGCGTGAGCGGCGCGGGCGAGGTGGGGGCAGTATCTTCAGTGTCTGGGAATTCAGTCGCCATGGAGTGTTTCACTGGAGCGGATCGTGCTTTTTGTGTGCGCGCGTTTTATCAAAATAATGATTCGGCAACCATTGCGCGGCGTAAATATCGAGAATAGCACAATTTTACAAAGTGTCCAACAGCTCAAACGATTAAGAACTGGGTTGCTAAGTTCGAAGAGACTGGTTCGACGTTAGATAAACAGCGGTGGGGTCGACCAAGGACAACTGGTATTGAAGAAAACATCAACATTGTGGCACAGTCTGTTCGTCAAAATCCTACCCAGTCTACTCGTAAGCGTTCCAGTGCACTAAACGTACCCAGAACATCTTTACAGCGGATTTTAAGGAAAGATTTACGTCTGCACGTTTACAAAATTCAGTTAGTGCAGGAATTAAAAGATAATGACGCTATTCAGAGACTAAACTTTGCGAATGAAATGTTGAATCGATTTTCTTCGCTCAATAATGCGTTGTTCTCGGACGAGGCTCACTTCCATTTAAACGGGCATGTAAATAAACAAAATTGCCATTATTGGAGCCCTGAAAATCCAAGGCGTAAGCATCAGAAGCCCTTACACAGCCCTAAAGTTACAGTTTGGGCTGCTATGTCAGCGCATGGCATCGTAGGCCCTTATTTTTTTGAGGACGACAGAGGTCGCGCATTAACTGTTACTTCGGAGCGGTATGTAGCAATGATAGAAGAGTTTTTGACACCAGCGTTGCAGAATTTTCCAGGCTATAATACGCAGACCTGGTTTCAACAGGACGGAGCAACTGCCCACACCTCCAACACTTCTATGCCCGTCGTCTGTCAGCTTTTTCACAGTAAAGCAATTTCTCGAAGAGGAGACATTTCCTGGCCACGTAGTCCAGATTTGACCCCAATGGACTTCTTTTTATGGGGCTACCTCAAGAGTAAAGTGTACGACACCACTCCGCGATCAGTTGATGTCCTGAAAGAAAATATCCGAAGAAAAATGGCAAGCATTACAGTGTTGACTTGCCGCGCAGTCATCGACAATTTTAGACGTCGTTTATACGAGTGCCGTGATCGTAATGGATTGCATTTAGACGATGTGATTTTTAAAACATAATTCCCATTCAATAAAGATGATAACAAAATATAATAATTCTTCATAATGTAACTAGTTTGGTTTTATTCCTTTTTTTCCAGCTCAAAGGACTTATGGGCCACCCTGTATATCACCACTATCACCAATTCCTTGGACTAAAAATAGCATTTTTGGAGGCTTTGATAATAGTTTTGAGATTTTTCAGAAATGAATGTAAGTATATGATAATACTTACAAGAACGTTAGATTAGTGCACGTTTCTGTGAACTTCTTTTTATAATGATGTATTACAGGGTGGCCAAGATAAGGATTAGACTAGGTTAAATTCAGTAATCACACAATCTTACATCCAGCATTTGTTTGCAACGCCTAGTTAAATAAAATGAAAAAAAAAACACGTTTGTTTATAACTTAAAAAAACAAATGTAACTTGATACATCGTTGAAGTCGTAGAAAAAGATGCTACTAAATACAGGGTCGCATTTCTTTAAATGTTGTGCACTTCGGGCATATTTAAAAACACCATCATGTAGTGCCATTAGTTTTTCACATTTCTTAAGTCAGACAAAAATAAAAACGATTTGGCCAAATTTTAGTTTTTCCCAAATACCCCAGTATATGACTAATCTCTCAGTGTATGCAATTTATTTAAAAAAGATAGTACGTCAACCTTAACACACAAGTAGATGAGTATGCAAGGATCACCTACTTTGCAGCACATGTATCCTGTTTCCATCAGAAGAGTTGGAAGTAGACCTAATTTCCACTTTGGAGACACTTGACACCCACTACACAACACTAAAACACCACTGAGAGACAATCGAGAACACCACTTCTAAAAAAAATAACTTTACCAAATAGAGCTCTGCACGGAGCTGTGAACGCGTGGACATTCCGTTGTGCCGACGGTTGCCGAGAGACTGAAGCGTGTGAGTCCTGTACCTCGCTGCGGCGATACGGTACGGCTGGGTAGTACAGTCACGCCCCTTCCCAGCTCCCACTCCGCGAGTCTGCTCCCGGTCAACGTAAACATAGAGTCGCTTCGTGATACTGTTAGATAAGAAAACCCAAAAAAACAACTTTTTTACTACGATCTTGGTAGTATCTCGATATTTACGTTGCCCGGGAGCAGACGCGCGGAGTGGGAGCTGGAAAGGGGCGTGGCCGTACCGTATCGCCGCAGCGAGGTACAGCACTCGCATGCTTCAGTCTCTCGGCAACCGTCGTCACAGCGGAATGTCTACACGTTCACAGCTGTGTGTAGAGCTCTATTCGGTTTACCTAATTTTTTTCAGTAGTGTGTTCACTATAGGGTTATCGATTGTGTCTCAGTGGTGACGCGTGGGTGTCAAGTGTCTCCAAACTGGAAATTAGGTCTACTTCCAAAATTCTTCTGAGGGAAACAGGATATATGTGCAGCAAACTCGGTGAGCCTTGCATACTCATCTACTTGAGTGTTAGGGTTGACATCCTATTTTTTTTTAAATAAATGAGAATTTTAATAACGTTGTATAGTAGACGACAACGATATTGTATTGCGAGCAACAATTAATCTTGGCAGTGACGGTTGAGGTTTTCCTCGCCCATATTAATGATCATGTAATTTTAGATCAAATAGTTATTTATATAATAAAACATTGTTTTTTTCCATTGTTGGAAGGAGTCCTGTATTCAAAAAGTATTTTATCCTATAATACTGGGGATTTATAAAAATGTACAGAGACATTAACGTTCCGCCAGGAGACGCAAAATGTAAATAACAGCTTTTTCTTAGTTTTTTGGCAAACATTGCTACTCCTCAAATTTTATATATCTCCATTGGAATCCCTCAATATTTTATCGAAAGCTTCTTTTTTTAACATTCTAGCAAAATAGCAGAGGTAGCATATTGTCCGATGAGCTGGCAACGACGCAATCTAGGTCATTTAGTACGTCAAAGCGGCAGTTTTCCAATCTTCATTTGCATTTTTCAAGCGGTGTGCAACGATTTCGAGAAAAATTTCGCTACGGATAGCCTTCTAGAGTCTAGTAGAGTATATTTCAATAGTTGTTTTGCGTGGCCTTGCTTTCTTTACAACATTTCGTCAAAATCGTGATAGTACTTTCAGAGTTATCATTTCTTTAATCTTTTTCGTTAGTTATGAAATGCAAGTCAATATATTTCTCAACTAGTCTTGCATTACAACAGAACATTATAATAAAACAACTGTAAGCACTTGATAATTTATTAAAATACATATCCTTAGGTCAGTCATATTTCACCTGCGAAACTTACAAAATATTAGCAATATGAAAGGAGTGCTGTTATGACAGCCTCTGTTTTGTATGTACACTAATTTAATTCATTATTCTCAAAAGTTAGTTACGGAACATATATTATTATGAATCGGTAGGTTTTCAAATCAAAATACATCCCACATACCACTACTTCACCACAATCGCAGCAAAATAAATAAATAATGTTTGTCACCGCTACTGGTTCTAACCTAAAACCATCAAACACATGACATCTCGTGTGGGAGCGTACCGCCAAGGTTCCAACGTTGTAACGTTCTTTGACGCGGGTCAAATTTACCATTTACCAACAAGAGCCCGAACGTGCCATGTGGCGGACGTTGGACACATGCAATCCATCAGCGCTCTCCCACAAGATGTGGCGAATTGCAATGTGTCCAACGTTGTAAGGCATTCGCCACATCGTGTGGGAGCGATTTGAACTGTACGAGAAGTTACCAGAATTTTTTTGGTTTGCAGGATAATCTTGTATAATCAAATCCAAGCGAATAACCAAAATTTCTGTGTTATGTGCCGCGGTTATAATATGGTTCAAGATGACACACGGGTTGATGACGTCAGTTACACGAATCGCTTGAACGCGTTGGTTTTAACCGCGGTTTTGTTGCAAGTTGTTTATTTTAGAAAAGCGCGTATATAATCTCTGATTATTTTTATTATCACTTAATAATCGGTGCTTTTTCGTCTAGAACTGTATATGGAAAGTTTAAATAAGAAACCTTTCATAATATTCATGGGAAAAATGTTTTTTTTCAGTTTTTTTTTTAATGATCTAACCATGGCTTTGTAGCTATGATAACTTTCAATTCTCTAAATTTTTCCGCATGTCAAAGAAAACATTTATTGATTCAGCAGAAATGATGAAAAAAGAAATTAGCAAAACCGTATACAGGTGGATATCATCTAGTGAGTTTATATGGCCATATTTTAATATTCCTGTGGTATATGGCTACACAGGATACTTTGTTAAGCATAGGAACTACATTTAAAGTATCCCCAACAACCGTAATGAGTATAACTAATAAGGTGCTCCACTTTATGGTAAAACTGAAGTCAGCCTGTATCGTTTTTCTCAAAAATGAAGCTGAAGTACAATAACAATATCCAATACCCGGCAAAATTCTAACTTGTCACATTTCAAATAATAACCAGAAATATAAAACTACTCTTGAGTTGGGTAAATACCACAATTTTGCGGTGATAACTATGACATATAACAGCTGATTCGTGACGTCACGGATCTTATAACCAAACTGATAACTACACTCGCTTGAACGGATTGGTAAATACCAACCCAAAATGGTAAATACCATTTCCATTTGGTTATCCGCTTGAATTTGATTTATGAAATGGTAATGCTGGTCAAACGTCACCAGTACGAAAAATACAAAATGTCACAGTAACCTAACCAAACTTTTTGATTGTTTTAACATGTTAAAGACTTTGGAAGGATGTGAAAAATACATTAATAAACATGTCCCAGGTCGAAAATGACCTTTAGCAATGAAAGATTAGCCATTTTATACGGTTCTCAGACAGGGAATGCCCAAGATTTAGCCGAGCGAATTTGGAGGGAGTCTAAACGATTTTATTTTAAAGCTGTCCTAAGAGCCCTAGACGAATATAATGTCTTGGATCTAGTTAATGAAAAATGTGTGATATTTATTTGCTCTACCACTGGACAGGGTGAAGAGCCAGACAACATGAAGACCTTTTGGAAATTCCTGTTACGGAAAAGTTTACCTAGGGGTGTACTCAGTAATTTGAGGTAAATATGGTTTATATCAATATTATTGTCCATTCTGTTCAGTTTTCATTCAGAAAATTTGTGTCAAAATGATAGTGAAATACACACAAAGGTCAAAGTACATAAGACAATCAGTTTAAATAGAAATTCAGTGTTATATAACAGTGGTTTCAAGGTGGATCCAGAGGAACAAGTACCATCTGCACATTTTTTGAACTTTGCCCGAGTTTCCCACTTGTGGATCCGCCACTGATTGGTTTCATAGCTGCCATTAAGGGGCAGTTACACACAGTCATTTTAAAATATAACAAACAAGTTTTGCAATGTATTTGCACATTAATGATGTTTTTGAAGATATATTCATTTACCAAAATTTAGTGAAAATAAGACCTTTTGAGTTGAAAAAATAGCAAGCTTTTTCTTAATGTCAAGTGAACCAATAATTGTCTCATCAGGGTGGCAGTATTTGGTCTAGGTGACTCTAGTTATACCAAATTTAACTTTGCTGCTAAAAGATTGTATAAACGATTGCTTAATTTGGGAGCAACAGCAATTGTTGAATTGGGTTTGGGAGATGATCAGCATGATTTGGGTTATGATGCTGCCGCAGATCCATGGATGGCAAATGTATGGAAAGAGTTGCTGCTTCTTTATCCATTACCAAGTGGAGTCCAACCTCTTCCAAAGGATTACATTTTCAGACCAAGGTATGTTTTACAATAATATGGTAAATATAATAACTAAATTTTTTCAAGATATAGCATTGCTTGACAACAGAATACCCTTAAAGGTTGTTCTTATTTGGACTCATTTTGATTAATATTTAAAATATTCTAGGTGGAAAGTTTCAGCAACTGCATTAGATGTGGATGTTAATAGGCAAAATTCTATTTATTACTGTGTTAAAACTGGTAATGAGTTTGACTCCACTGTTCTGGAAAATAAACGATTGACAGATGCTAGTCATTTTCAGGTAATTGAATCAGTCAACTCTTTTGAATTCGAAGGCAAATACATCAAAACAATTTTTTTATTCATTTGAAACCAATACACGGTCTGAGCAGTAGTTCAATTAACAGGCAAGAAAGATCAAGTAATAACAAAATATTGTAGATGGTATGCTCATTTTTGGTGGAATTGAAAAGGTCAAGTTCAATAACACTCGCAGATGAGGGCACATAATATAAGGTGTCCAAAATAACATTAAAATGGTTTGTGGAAAAGGCAAATATGGGGAGATCATTTTTAAGAAGAAAGCTCCATTCATCAAATTTCACGAAAAGTTTGAGGCTGACAAATTTCTACATTTGACTAAATTAGATCCAATGTACCTCTCTGGAGCATGTCAACATGCTTCAAGGGTATCCTCAATCCTTAACTATAGATATTTTACAAAATCTCATTGGACTCTCTCAGTGTTATTACATTACGTAGTCATGCCATAAGTTCTGTCCCTCGTTTTCAAACAAGTGTAGACCTGTTAATACTTGTCCGATTGTTTACATTGTGGTGTCAGTTGATTAAGCGCTTTTCGGGTAATTACATATACCTCAGTTTGTATTGATCTCTCGAAGCATAACGATGAAGTGGGGCAAGGCAGAGAACCGTATTGCAGTGATAGCTTTACATAAGTGTAATCACAGTGCTAGTCAGATTTTTGAACTCTTACGCGGCCTTCAAATATCGCGTAAATTTGTGTCTAGGACCATTCAGCGGTACAATGAGACGTCCTCTGTTGATGACAGGCCAAGAAGCGGAAGACCTCGTCAAGTAAGGACTCCAGCAGCCATCAAAGCCGTAAAAGCCAGGATTCAAAGGAATCCACTCCGGAAGCAGAAGATCCTATCCAGGGAAATGAAGATTCCTGTCCGGACGATGTCGCGCATCATTAAACAAGACCTAGGGCTAGGGGCTTACCGGAGACGTACGGGCCAGCGACTTACGGCCACCTTGCGACACATCAGGGCGACAAGATCCAAGAAGCTCTTGGAGAGGTACGCAGCTGGGGGATTCCGAAAGATTTTGTTCACGGATGAGAAAATCTTCACCATAGAAGAAAAATTCAACCGACAAAATGACAAAGTGTATGCAAGGAGTTCACAGGAAGCTTCGGAGATCATTCCGAGAGTTGAGAGAGGCCACCACCCTGCGTCAGTCATGGTTTGGTGGGGGGTGTCCTACGAAGGGGTCACTCAGCTCCATTTCTGTAAACAGGGCGTGAAAACAAAAGCGGCAAACTATCAGAGCGACATACTGGATCCTATCGTCAAGCCTTTAAGTGGTATATTGTTTGCCAACCAACACTGGGTCTACCAGCAGGATTCCGCCCCCGCTCACAAGGCTAAGAGTACGCAGCGCTGGCTGGAAAGCAATGTGCCAGAGTTCATTGCTGCGGAAGATTGGCCCTCAGGGAGTCCGGACCTCAATCCTTCAGACTACAAGTTGTGGGACCTGCTAGAGCAGTTGGCCTGCTCCAAAGCCCACCATAATATCGAGTCCCTGAAAGCGGATTTGATCCGATCAGCGGCAGCTATTCCTTTGGAAGCTGTGCGTGCAGTGATAGATGAGTGGCCCGCGAGATTGAAGCAGTGTGTGAAGGCCAAGGGGGGACATTTTAAATAAAACTGTTTGATTATGAATTCTAAAAATGTTGTCGAATAAATAATATCTTTCATATAAATATATCTTATCTTGTTTCATTTTTATCATGAGGTTATCATGGGACAGAACTTATGGCACGACTACGTATATATACGTATATTAAGTGAGATCAGAAAATATCAGCAAAAACGATTTTTACAGGATGTAAGATTGATAAGATTCAACACTGATGGCAAACATTACAACCCAGGTGATATCCTAGCTTTAAGACCCAAAAACCTTCAATGGATAGTGGATGAATTTATGGATGTTCTTTCATCAAATGGAGTGGATATCCCACCAGATTCTGTTTTCACTTTACAACAGAATGATCCTGATGTTCCTATTCCAGATGTTCTCAGGTAATAATAAATTCAAAAACCAGTGTTATGAAACCTCATTTGTACCTGTTTTGAAAATGGTATCATTAGAGTTGCTACACAAAAGGCCAGTACTACTAGAGTAGATGAATGTCAAATAATAGGCATATGGGTATGTCTAGCTAATAGTGGCAACTACGAAGGGTGGTATGGCAGCTCAAGTCGAGCAAAAATCATTTTATTTTTGCCTCTTTTTGGCTATGGCCAATTTTTATATAATTCAGATTATCCTCCACAGGTATAAAGTGACATTCAGTCAGCTTTGCCTCGAATACTTTGACTTGCTAAGCATCCCAAGACGCCAAACTTTCCAAGTTCTAGCCCAATTAACCGATAGTGAACTGGAAAAAGAGAAATGTCTAGAATTCACTACTGCCGAAGGTCAGGAAGAGCTTTTCTCGTACGTCAACAGACCCAGAAGAAACATTGTTGAAGTACTAAGGGATTTCCCTAATGCTACAAAAAACCTGACAACAGATGTGCTGTTTGAAATACTTCCACCGATCAAACCCAGAGAGTTTTCTATTGCTAGCAGTTTTAAGTTGAGTCCTAATGAAATACACATACTAGTAGCTGTAGTTAGGTTCAAGACCAAATTGGCAAAAGAGAGGGTTGGACTGTGTTCGAATTTTTTAGCTGATTTGAAGAAGCACGATAGAGCGTCGGTTTGGATCAATAAAGGTTCTTTTAAGTTTCCATCAGATTTGGTGAGTGTAATTCACGGGTATTCTGTAAGGTAGTCCTTAGGTATGATAAAAATTTATAGGAATGCCTGGAATTTTTATGTTTGAGGCATTGAGTGGATTCAGCAAAGGCTACGGTTACTATGGATGCGAATTCTAACGGAATTTTGTTTTGACGGGTTCTGACTAATTCGTTCAAATAAACAAACACATGCTTTCCTATGAGCTATGCTTAAATTGGCAGCGACCAGTATGTCAGAGTATTCACGACATCGTCAGAACCATATGAGCGCCCAAACAATTTTTTTTCGTACGACTTGCGTCTTTTTTGCGTACTTACTTGAATATTTTACCATGTACACCGAGAAACAAAAATTATCAATGATAACCTTTTAATCTCTCCTTTGTCATCTCTAGTAGAATATATAAGATTTGCATGCTGTTTTTCCACCATTTAACAACAGCAATTTCAGTAGAGAACTTTCATGAAAATAAAATTCAACTTCGTGTTTATTTGCTGAACAGCGGAAACCTACTCACTACCAAAATATCAGTCAACGCACAGGGTAACCGCCCTGTGCTGGCGAGGGTCTTGGGCATACTCTTCAGAACTAAATTTCGTCCGAATTCGCATCCATAGTAACTGTAGCTGAAAGCACTCCATCAATGTAGCTCTTTTATACTGAATAGCAGTAGCCATGGAATAGCTTTGTCATTTAAGTAAACTATCACAACTAACAGGCAAGTGAAAGCTCCTGTCAAATTAATAAAAGCTATCCCATGGCTCTTGCTATTTAACATAAAAGCGCTGCACTGCTGTTGTTGTTTGCTGACACGATCATTTCCCTTATCTGCTCAGAAAATCCAAGCTTGCTATCAAAAATCACCCCAAGATAATTGCTTACTAACCTATTACAAGTTTTTTACTTTTTAGAAAACTGATGCATATGACGAGAAAGAATGGACATGTTGACAATTGTTTTATGATTTTAGGATACACCTGTTATAATGGTTGGCCCTGGAACTGGAGTAGCTACTTTTAGGAGTTACATACTAGAGAGGATTTCTGAGGGTACAGCTACAAAAGACAACTTGATACTGTTCTATGGTTGCAGATATAGGAATATGGACTTCCTGTGTGGCCAGGATTTTGAGGAATTAGCTGAGGCCCATAAAATGACTTTTGTAACTGCATTTTCTAGGGAACAGTATGAAAAAGTGTAGGTTCACTTGTTTGTTGCTATTATGAAATTGCCTTTCCGTGCGGAGACAACAACAGGAGTCCATGACGGTCATCATTATTAGGTGTTCAGATCTATGTTACATCAACAAGAGGCATGTGCTCTGTGCATTTTATTGCCTTTTCACACCTTTTTAAACCCGAACTTGAACCTTTACTAGTGAAATTGGCAGATGCATGAGTGCTTTGTCACTAGGTCGACTGGGTCGCTGTCTCCACGCGGGATGCCTTGGACAAACATGTAGGACATATCTACTGTCCTACAAGACATAATACAAAGGTCCTATGAACCGCCTTGACAAGCCAGTGATTTACGTTCACTTGCACTTATATGCTAAGAGTTAGTGCTGCGTGAAGTATGTTGCTGAATATTACTCATTATTGAGTTAATCTGCTGACAACTAGCACAGCTCAGTATAACTTGATTGAACAAAGACTAGAGATAGGAGGTTAAACTGCGTAAGTGATACATGTATTCGTATGAAGCCAATCCTGTTGCCAAGGATGGCGTGGCTCTCGTAAATATAGTGGACGTGGAGCAGAGCGTCTACGCATTGATGAATGTCAACATAACCTGTCGCAATTCTTTATGTGCGCATTCCATGCGTTGTTGGTTTAGTACTTCGTGGTTTATAAACATTATCCAATATTTCTGCTTGCAAGTCGTGCGAACTGTCAAAATTGGAGTTGTTTACAGTCGTGATGAGAGCAACAGAGAGATGTCACATTTATTTTCTGCGCATTGTGCATACGAGAGAGATGCACCTGGAATTCATTTTCTGCGCATTGTACCAAATCACTTCATCGTGGACATTTTTAGCTTCACCCTCACTCCATGAGTTTAACCTCCTATCTGTAGTCTTCATACCTGTTCCAGATGTAACACTTTTGTCAGTTAATCTGAAGGTTTTCAAAATTTTCAAAGCGATCCATTCAGATGACATCTAGCAGACTAGATTAACCCACACTTCATGCAGCAATAACTCTTATCAGTTAAGAGCAACTGAACGTAATAATTGACGAAATAGGCTTCGATATGCACGAAAGCAATCGAAAATTTTACCGATAATCGTTTTTGCAGATATGTACAACATAAAATAATAGAACATAAGGAGATAGTTTGGAAAGCATTACAAAAGAAAGCATATGTATACGTGGCAGGGAACTCAAAAAATATGCCTCAAAGTGTCAGGGAAGCTTTCACAGAAGTATGTATAGATATTGGTGGGATGACCAAAGAGAAAGCTGTGCATTTCATGGATATCATGGACAAAACTGGAAGATACCAAACAGAATGTTGGTCATGATGCCTATAAATTTTATTTATTATATGTAGAGATTGGGCTGAATATATCCAATTTTTGTTTTTGCTGAATTATTACTACTATACCTGTTGTGCTAGTGTACGTATATCGTAGAAGTGCAATTCACGAAATTATCGAGCATTTCATGAAATTGGCCAACTATATTTGACCATATCGTTAATTCGCCAGCATTTAACGATTCGGTCATCCAGGATTGAGTATATCGTAAAATAGGATGTCCACAAAAGTAAATAAACCCGCATAGTACTCGAGTACACCTTTTTTGTCATAAACTCTTTTAGTCTATGTCTAGTCTGTGTCTAATTTTCACTTTTATTATATACATTCATACATAATCAAAATACCCTTTTTACCTGAAGATGCAGGATTTGTTACAACATTTCCTCTTGTCTGGGGCTGGCCTTCCTCCTTCTCTGTTTTGTTGGCTTCTTGCTTCTCATATTACTTTCCTATCAGCAGTCGCCAAATAAACTCGACCATTTCATGAAGTAGTCGCGTTTTTAGTTGATAATATCAATAAACAATTTGTTATCATTGATGTGGTCAATGCACATTATGATCTTATCTCATGAAAAACGACCATCTAATATTCTGGTTGTGAAAGTTTAAAAAACATATTACTTGCTGTTTTGTTCTGACTCTGTTGAAATAAAAACTAAACAATATCAATATTAATTTCCCACAATTTTCATAGCTTTATATCACATAATTAGATATTCAATTTATTTGATATCATATAATTAATAATGCAAGATAGCACTCGTAATTAGTTTGGTCCATGTCGGATATTCATTAATGACTTCAAAATCTCTGAAATCGAATATTTATTAATCTGGTGTAAATTATAGATCTGTAAAAACTAATCGACAGCCCCTCGTATATAATGTCTTCCTCTTGAATGTGTCGGCAGTGCTGCCAACTCTCCCAGATGAATTCTTTATAGCACAGTGCAAATAGACTCGGCAAGGGAAACGACTACCGATTTGCATGCATTTTGGAAGAAGCGTCGAATATTTCTATCTAGCTAATGGTACTACATTCTTAAAAATAGGTGTGGTATCAACGGAATTATGAGCGAAATCAAAGAATATCAGAACATTTCAAAACTTGTTTTTCGTTGCTGATCATTTTTGGGTACAATAATACAGGGTGTCCGCAAAGTTGGGGTTTTCCTTTACACGACGTGAAATCATAAGGAATTTTTCTTAGTACCATATACACCAATGTCTTAAGGGAACCGAGATAAAGAGCTCTGCAACATCAAAAATATCTGAATACCGTCCTGCAGCCGCGACATCACCGACTGGTACAAGGTCACTGGCTCAACCCGACGACAGAACTGGGTCGGGGTCAGTGTGTCAGGTCAGTATGCAACCTTCAACCGACGATTACGGTCACGCGTGTAGAGGTAATCGCGTAGACGAGAATCCCTCAACAAGCACTAGAGACGTGGCTAGAGAAGTGCAAGTATCAAAAACTAAAGTGTGGCAAACGCTGCGTGAAGAGGGGCTGTATCCGTTTCACGTCCAACGTGTACAAGCCCTTCAACCTGACGATTTTCCAGCAAGAGTGCGGTTTTGTGAGTGGTTGTTGCATCAACATGACAATAATCCGGACTTTTTGAAGTGCATATTGGTGACAGACGAATCTACGTTCACGCGTAATGGGGTGAATAACTTTCGCAACACTCATGTTTGGTAAGTAGAAAATCCGCACGCTATCCGTCGGGCGGGCACATTTTCAACAAACATTTTCGGTGAATGTTTGGGCTGGCATGGTGAACGGTATGCTTATTGGACCATTTATTCTCCCAAATCGATTGGACGGGATGCAATACCTAGACTTTTTACGCAACATTTTGCCTTCCTTGTTAGAAGATGTGCCATTAAGTGTAAGACAATCAATGTGGTTTCTGCGTCTGCTCGGTAGCACAACAGCTGATTTCATTTTCTGTTGGAGCGGTATGATTTCGGGCAGAGACGTACTTAGCCCTTCTCGTCAACTGGAGAGTGAGTACTTTTTCCTTTATTTTTTTTTACTTGGTCGCCCTCGTTTCACTACACATTACCTTTGTTATTTCAAGGGTAGTTGTTTCTGAAAAGGAAAACCCCAACTTTGCGGACACCCTGTATATTCTTCTGAAGTCGACATTTTCTAAAAAGGCAGCTAGTTTTTTCAATTATTGTATGGCGCTAAAAAATGTTCAAATTCAGCTTGTAGTACCTATAGTTCTGTTCAAGGCTTTTTGGCGGTTACGTGACGATGTCATACGAAATAAGCACTCCAGAGTGACTAAAATGGTATCATGTTCCCTAAGCGGAATTACACACTGTACAAGCCGATCCGTAACGCCAGAAACCGTGGAAAGACCTACATCACAGCTTTATTCAACGCTGGATCTCCCTCAAGTTTTACTCGAGGCTCAAAAATTACCCCTATGGGGAGTGAAAATTGAGTTTCTTACGTCAGATGATGGAGCATAGCATTCTCATGTACTTTTTGACGCTGAAAACGAATTTGAGGTCGACAAAATTCTTACACATCCGGCACCAAAAAAAGTACCATTAAAGTGGGGGTGGAAAATTGATATTCGAATGCTGGATGCTGCGAAGTCGGTCCAGGCGCACACACACTGGCACGCCTAATGTTGTGTAACTTTTAAGAAATTTCGGTTCCGAGACTTACTATACAGAATTTCACGTATGTTATGGCCCAAACCTAGTATTGTCAGGACCAGCGAGGCTCTACGGTTCAGCAGGAAAAAATGCATCACACTGCCTAAATATGCGATTTAGCATCAATCACTAGAAACTCACTCACCGTCATTATCGGGTAGTTTTGACGCCGGGGGTGCATTCGAGGGAGGTGGATCTTTTTATCTCAAATTTCGATTCAGCGTTGAAAAATACTTGGGACTACTGTGGTTGAGTATCTGGGATCCGAAATTCAATTCTCCACTCCTTTATATAGTAGCAGTTTTTGAACCCGAGGGTGAATTTTAGGGATGTAAAAATTTCGTTGACCTCAAATTTGGATTCTGCGTCGAAAAGTACATGGAAATATCATGTTCCAGCATCTGGCATTCGAAACGCCCGGGCGTGAATTATAGACGTTCAGGAACTTTTCTGATCCTGGATTCGGTTCAGCGTCGAAGAATGCATAGCAATATCACGGCTGTCTCACGGATCTCGATCTTTATCTTTTTGTATGGCTGTGTTTCCAGTGTATATCTAAAATGCAAATCTGATGAAGAAACATGCGTGTAATTTTTTTATAATTTTAATTAATAACAGGCACAAGAATGGCTACAAGTAAACTTACTCACCATATCCCAAACATTAACCATCACTGTAAAAATCCATTAATGATGCTTTACTAGCGATAATAAATTAAGTGGGCTTTATTTTAGGCAATACCCTAAAACGACTAGAATAAGTTGCAACATGAGTTTAGGGTTTATTATATAACCCCATTAGAAATGTCAAAAAGTAGGTTTTCGTTTTTTGACTAACTTCGCCGCTACAGGACTCATACTTCGAAACCAACAAAAAGTACTTTGGTCCTTGTCATAGTACTAACCACAGATTATTAGCTGGTATTGTGTCAAATTTCATCGAAATCCGAGTGATATTTTCCAGTTTATGGAAGAAGTCAAGCCGTCTCCAACAGACAGGGACAAAATAAGAGTTATTGACCTTTTTTCACATAAGGAAAGTCATTATACGATTTTTTCTGGATTATAGCACTTAATCGTTCAAATAAACATACCAGATAATCAGTGTCTAACAAAAAATAGTTATGTTCTTCCGATATAAGGCACGAGAATGGTTCAGAAACACCAAGTCAACCTACTTCAATTTCAAGGAAGTATCAGAAACAGGGATATACTGTTTGATTTGGCATCACTGGCGTCGAGGTTACCCCTCCTATCCCTATCGCTGTGCCCGCGGCCCCCCACCCACCCGCGACAATCCATGCTCCAATGCATATCATCAATCTATCATGGCGAACGTGTAACCGTCTTGTTTTGGTTTCGGTTGAACGGTTTTCAGTGTCCACGTGTTTGTGATCGGTTAGACAGTGTTCCTAGGATAGTATCGGTTGCTTGCACTTAGAACTGGACGAGAACCTACCTGTGAGTGGCTTTTTGATTGATCTTTTTGGAAAGCGGTGTGGTTAACCTCTACATGGTAGGGTTCAAGAAATCGCGATGCACCTTGTATTGCCGTTATCTTTTTGGCGCCAAAGCTTACTATGCACTATTTTTTATTATGCTGTTAATAATTTACTACGTTTCAAAAGCATTTAGCCTGGCATAACATCTGCATGTTTATTATAGATTTTGTATCAAAAATATCAACGCATGTTTTTTTTTAGTTCTTTAGAATAGATCACAATTTGTTTATTCCCCAGTGGATGATCAAAGTTAACGGTTCAAGATTTATGACAATCTAACTACATTAATTTTAATCAACGCTGCCACCCACAAATAATTTGACAAAAGGTCAAGGGTATAAAAATTTATACAGTTTTTTCAAGAAAAATGGGCATAACAACATGTATGTCATACCTATATCCAGTTTATAATCCCTGTTTCCAGCACCTATATCATGCTGGCAGGCAAATGAAACTGGGAAATAATAGAGTTCAAACTACCTGTTTTATCATTGTGCATATTAACACACTTTTATGACTTTTCAACATACTCATTAACTTGCTGTAAAGTTAAACATTTGCATAAAAATTTTCTTTGGATATTGTATGCATTTGTTTAAAAGAGATTATGCAAAAGTGGCTCAAGTACACTTACTCTCCATATTTGTCACACATAATTTTATAGGTATTAGTTTGATTTCTTGATTGGATATTTTTTCAGTAATGATCGTCGGACATCTGACAATACCTGCTATATGCAGGAACCATAATTTTACAGGGGACGAAAAAGACATTATCAATTTTATACTACCAGCCTTAAGACTCTACACCTTTGGTCACAAAAAATAAATGACGTTTAACACATATTTAATGCGTTTTTATCTACAGGGTAGTAT